GCCAGGGACTGCATTTCCCAGCTGCCCTTGCATTTTGAATAGAAAAGGAACAGAAATGATATGTGTGCTGCTTCCAGCACAAGAAGGTTAAGAAATGTTGTGCTTTCTCTCTACTCTTTTCCCTTGTCTATTGTCAGGAAGCACAGGACTCCGTGCCCATGAAGGGCAGTAGGGGACTGCATATGGTAAAAAGTGTAGGTCCACACATCACAAAACAGAGCATAGTTTTCCATAGTCCACGAACATCCACATCCCACTGTTACTTGAGCAAGAAATAAACCTCAGCAGGGTTGAACTACAGGCAGTTTAGGTATTATTTGTTAAAGCAGCTGAAATTACCCCACTTAATGTAGCAGACTGTCTCCTTATGTGGATGCCATGTTGGATATATCTGAAAATGGATGCTAATAGCCCGCATTACTAAAGGGGTATATCTGAGTGAAGTAGGTCTATTGGGAATGCATAATGTGTCAGAATTACAGGCCTGAGCATCTTTTTAGCCCCACCAACGTTTCTTTTAGAGTTTCCAAGTTGATCTCTCTATGTAACAGAAGATAAAGTTTTATGCTAAAATAATCACTTATAATTTGATGTTATGGCTTGAGTCAAAGAATATTGTTGCAGTGAGGTTTTCTCAAAACTACTGGGAATTACACAGGCTGCAATTTCTAACATGCTTTTCCAAGTCATCTCCTTTGGGCCCAAACAGCCTAATTTGTTTGTGCCAGCAGAAAATCTCAAAGAAGATGGCCAAGGCACTTAAATATCCCAGCACGTGAAGCACAACCTTAAGAGATGTCAAAATAGTACAAGATCCATGTAATATTAGGACAGTACCCTAACAGTCATTTTGTCCAATTTCTTCATTTCTCATAGGAGAAAAACGACTTTACTTTTTAATGTCTCTCCATGAACAAATGCCTTAAAAATTCTGAGACCCTGACTTTTACTAGAAAACTCTAGAAAACTAGAATTGATCATGAATTCATGTTTTCTTTATCTCTTCTCTCCTCTGAATCCCAAACAGTTCTCTTCTATTGATTTATATGCACAGGGGACTTAAGCACACCCAACACTGAGATCTTTTCTGAGGATATAAGCTTCGTATAACAATGTTTACTTGTTTGCATCTTCAAAACCCTTCTATGGAAACTTTCCTTGCCACCAGATATCCCTGTCAATAATGTAAATGTAAAAAATGACTTTAGTATCCATATTATAAACAAGAAAAAATTCAAAATTTTCTCAAAAAATGTTAGAGATACTTCTTCGAAAACGCACTCTATGAGAGATGGATGATTTTAACAGTATTCCCCCGGGAAGGAATTGGCACTGACACCTAGAATTCTTGATTCTATGTCCTGCACTCAGTTTCTTAAGTTAGTACACCAGCTACTTGTACCTAACCTACATCATACAGGAAGTTGGTTTATTTAAATGTTTGTTTATTTTGAGAGAGAAAGAGAGGGGATGAGGGGCAGAGAGAGAAGGAGAGAGAGAATTCCAAGCAGGCTCTTCGCCCAGCACATGGAGCCCAGTGTGCGGCTCAATCTCACAACAGCAAGACTATGACCTGAGCTGATATCAAGAGTCCAATACTTAACTGACTGACCCACCCAGGCACCCAGCAAGTTTTTTGTCAAAAGGAGTATGTTAGAGAATCACTAACATAACCTTTGCATTGATGGCTTATAAGTAGTTGTAGAGAAGAAAATATTCAGTTCTGTTTCACTTCTAAAGTGAAACATATCAAATTCTTAACAACATGATCACAAAGAGATCCAAGTGCTATACTTTCTTCATCCTGATTGCTTTTCCAAACATTTTTAAACAGAGGTCACCACAGTGCTAATGTATTAAAATCTAGAGAATTTTTGTTTCTCCAGGAAAAACAAAAAACAACCTGCAGTGAATTTTAATATTTTTAATTTTTTAATTAATTTATTTCTGACAGAGAGAGAGAGAGAGACAGCATGAGCAGGGGAAGGTCAGAGAGAGAGGGAGACAAAGAATCTAAAACAGGTTCCAGGCTCCCAGCTAGCTGTCAGCACAGAGCCCAATGCGGGGCTCGAACCCACGGACCGAGAGATCATGACCTGAGCTTACGTTGGACAATTAACTGACTGAGCCACCCAGTGCCCCAACCTGCAGTGAATTTTATACTGGATATTTTGATTGGATAGGCATTGCATGACACCCCTTAGGGCATGATCACATGCATGGCAGAAAATAAACTAGTTCATTGGCAAAACACTAGAGAAGAATTAAGATTTATAATCTTGATTATTGATCAGGAAAATGACAACAATATCATTCTCTTCCTATATAAATTCACATCACCTACTGTGAAAATTGAATTACCCAGGAGGAAAATAAGCCCCTTAGACATATAGTTCAGAGTAGGTAAAACCACAACACACCTAAAACTTGTACACCTTTTTGTGTGTCTGTGTATGTATCAAATGTACTGAGTCTTAAGTGAGTAGGTAGCTTATATAATAATTAATATTACTTAACCTCCACTCTTTCTCCCATCAGGAAAATCAGCCTTCAGGTTCATACATATTGAAATAGTGCTCTTAACTTAAAAAGCAAGATGAGAGGTGTGCCTTGGTGGCTCAGTCAGTTAAGCATCCAACTTCGGCTCAGGTCATGATCTCACGGTTCATGGGTTCAGGCCTGCGTCGGGCCCTGTGCTGACAGCTAGCTCAGAGCCTGGAGCCTATTTCAGATTCAGTGTCTCCCTCTCTCTCTGACCCTCCCCTGCTCACACTGTCTCTCTCTTTCTCTCTCAGAAATAAATAAAACATTAACAAAAATTAAATAAATAAGTATAAAGAACAAGAGGGACCTATAAAACCTAATTATAAAAAAACATTAAATAGTGATACAGATCAAAATGACTATAAATCTAAAAAATTCTGTTTTTAAAAAGTCTCCTAAAACTTTATAGGTTGTTATCCAAACCTTAGACTTTAATTTAAAATACTATTTTTTCACCTATATAATGGGAGAAGATACTGCTAAGATAAAAGTGTCCATGTCAGGAATTAACTCATTCAATTTTCAGGGGTATCTGACAATCATTCATTGCTGGATGTAGTCACTTTCTTTTTTGGAAATTTATGTTGAAGGAATCATCCAAAAAGCATAAAGATTTACAAACAAGGATATTAACTGCATTGTCATTTAAGTAACAGTAATAATAAAGATTAGAAACTACTAACATGTAATAGAAGGGAATATATAATAGCACTGGATATATATACATTAAAAGTTTAAATTGGTAAGAACAGATACTACATTTGATTTTACCCAAAAGGCCAAGAAGCAATACACATTATAATTTTAGCTTTGATATTTTTAACCCTTTAAGAGTTTGGGGCACCTGGGTGGCTTAGTCAGTTGGGCGGTCAACTTCAGCTCAGGTCATGATCTCACGGTTCGTGGGTTCCAGCCCCCCATTGGGCTCTGTGCTGACAGCTAGCTCAGAGTATGTAGCCTGTTTCAGGTTCTGTGTCTCCCTCTCTCTCTGGCCCTCCCCTGTTTACACTGTCTCTCTCTCTCAGAAATAAATAAAATGTTAATTTTTTAAAAAAAGTTATTTTATATACATGGTAAAAAAATTAATTTTAAACAGTAAAAGAGAGAGAGAGAGAGGATTATTCCATAGTGAAAAGTTACTTTTAACTTCCCTCGTAATGCCAAATTATCCTCTCTAGAGGCAAGTACATTTATCATTCCAGATATATTTTATTTATACACCACAGTTATGTATACATATCTACCTTTTGGGTTTTATACATATGGTTGCAAACTGTCCGTACTGACAATTCTATAAATTGCATTTTTCTGTTGACAGAATATCTTGAAGTCATTCAATATAAATAATATGTAAATATTATCCATTCCTTTTTAACTTTTTTGAAGTCATAACATGCATCAGAAAAACTTAAAAATCATCAGTAAACAACTTGATCAATTTCTAAAAACAACACTCTTATAGAACTTGTACATAAATGAAGAACTAAAACATAAAAACAGTCAACTCTGAGGCCTCCGACAGTCACAACCCCCCAAGAGTTACCACTACCGTGATTCCCAATACCATTGATGAGTTTTATCCATGTGTGAACTTTATAAAATTGAAATCATGCAGTGTATCCACTAGCTATTGAAACAATAATGCTGCATAATGAATCCCCCAAAATTCAGTGCCTCAGAAAACCAAATAATTATTCTCATTATTAGCCAATTTGGGGCTATCTTGGATTTCACACATTTTTATTCATTTTATATAATGATAGAATAGTTATACCAGAGTCAATAAACCTTTTTGGTTAAGGGCCAGATAGTAAATATTTTAGGCTTTGGGCAGCCATAAGGGACATTCTCAATTCTGCCATTGTAGAATTAAAGAAACAAGATATAATACATATATGAGTGGATGTGGCTGAGTACCAATAAAACTTTATTAATCAAAATAGGCAGTGGACCAGATTTAGCCTGCAGGCCATAGTTTTCTAATCTCAAGGAATGTATTCACATTTCACATAACCTCAAAATTTCAGTGGCTTAATTCAACCAGTTTTATTTATTCTCACAGGGACATGGCCAGCACAGATCAGCTAGAGCAGGATGTATTCTCAGGGACAAACTGCACATCGACACTTACACTATCAGCATGGCAATGGGAAGCAAACATGACTACCAAAACATTGGCTCAAAGTTACCACCCAGAAGTGATGCACAAATTTTCACTCACCGTTCACAGGCCAAAGCAAATCAAATAGCTTTGCCTCACTTCAGAAAGGGCAGAGAAGTATAATCCTCTTCTGTGCCTACATAGAGAAAGGATCCAGAATATTTGTAAATATATTGCATGACAACTAGAGCTGTCATTCCATCTGTGCAATATGGTGGACTAAGACCCTCTGGAGCCATCATACTAGAAGAACATTTGTATACGTTTCTAAGTATTGCAAGTGATTGTAACTTACCATGTCGCTGCCACCCAGTCAACGTGATCTCCACACGGCTGCGCCTGCATTCTTATGGAGCAGCATGTTGCTAGCTCCCACACAAAGACCTTGCTGAGATCTATGCTTTGGAGCCTCCAGGCTTCCTCCAATGCCGTAGAAGTCTTTTCAACTGTGCAGAACAAAGCCCCAAAAATGTGGGGTATAAACATAATCAGGGACAACCCATGAAATAGTTCTAGTGTGTGTTGTATATGGTCCCTCAGAGAGCTACTAGAAGGCTTGAACCCCCGTTATCCATGAACCCCCGTATATCCATAAATAGCTAATTAGTGCACTTTTTTAGTAATTGAATTATTTCTATATATAATTTTTCCACTTCCTATTTCTGCTTCCTAGGAACACTTCTCAAATTATCTACATACACTTAAAGAATTGTTTTGTGTTTTGCTTTCATGGCAACAGAAACTAAGCCAATTAGAAAGCCTACATTCAAGATGGAATTCTAGAATTGGATCACTTACCAATCAAAGGGCCTCTATTATATTCTTACTCTATTCATCTTTATGGCCTCTGTGAAAAAAATTATATGCATTATGCCTGGTAATGGTGGATTACTGTAAACCTAACCAAATCGTTGCTCTAATCTGTGCTAATGTGACAGATCATCAGAGATATTGACACTTTGGATTTTCGGCTCTTGATATAGTGAAAGTCACTTGAATGCAGAATTATTTTTAATATCCATAAGTAGAGGATCAAAGCTATTAGCCTTTGCATGGGGAGAATAACAGTATACAATCACTGTCTCACCACAAAGCTGTCAACTCTCTTGCTCTCTGTCACAATATACTCTATAGAAATTTTGATAATTTTGTCATTCTGTAAAACCTCTTGGCCACCATATTGATCACATCATACTGGTGACCTGATGAGGATATCATCAGAATCTAGATGCCCTGTAAAATTAGATAATACAGCAGAGAGTATATATGTACCCTACAAGATTCATATACTGCCCACTTTCAGCCTCTTCATATGATTCCAATAATATGGGACATGCTCTGATACCCATGTAGGGAAAAGGTCTAGATGTTGAACTTTTACCCTTTATCACTGAGGGAGAGATGCCACCACAGGTTTGATGGTTTTCTTTGGGTTTTGGAGGAAGGATATACCATATTTGTACCTGGTGCTTGGATCTATGTATTGATCCATTCAAAACATTGTCAGTTTTGAACATTTGAACATTGTAGAGAGCAGGAGAGAACTTTGGCCCAGGTCCAGCTGATATGACCTGGCAGATCCAGTGGTGCTAGAGGTATCTGTGTTAGATAAGGTACTGTATAAAGCCTCTAGCTAACTCCAGTAGGTAAGTCACTGCAGAGAACACTAGGGTTATCTGCATGTTTGTGAACCAGCTCCCAGCATGCTACCTGGCTCCAGTATATGGCAAATGCCTAATCATGTGACATCAATTGACTAAAAACACATTACAGTACTAAAAAACTGAGTATGCTTAAATTCAAGTTATAAGGTTGGACAAATGCAATCATAATCTGTAAACAATAAAAATTATACATTCAGAATGTGTCATCAGCAGGTCTAGATGGCCCCCAAAATTAAAAAGAACAGATGCCCATATCAACAACATCTGTTGCATTGATGGCTTTCCCCCAGTGCACAACCATGGCCTCCTGGAGTATTCCCTAAAAAAGGAAGGGAAGAAAAAATGCCTTGCTTCAAAAGCGATTTAGTTTGATATGTTGGGACAGAGATTTTTGAACTATAGACCTAATCAGGAATGACCTCCAAGAATCATGGTGAAAAATCTATTTGTAGAGCTACAAACAGTAGACTGGGTCATCACTTTGGCATGAAGAGAAGTAATCTGAAGTGAGAAGATACATGAATAAATGACCTGAAGCAATGACTTGGCTGAGTGGTAAGGGCTTAGAAGTAACCACAGTGAAAAACTGAAAACAAAGAAGAGAAAAATAGTCACATGATGGACCCATGAAGTCAAAACCTACTGGAAAGGAGAGCACTGAATAGCTAGATAGGTTAAGTTTGGAGGTAAATATCAGGCAGGCTCTGTCCTTGGCCAATATCTGTCCTTGCACAATTGGCCCATACATGGAGAAGCTAAGATGACAGACATGAGGCTAAGTATGAGCCCTGTGACTGTTTTTCATCAAGGCTTTTCCTCATTCAGGCTCTACCACCTTTTGTTGTTCTTAAATATTCAACCCTGCCAGCAGCAGAGACCACACCTGAGCTCTCAATGTGGTATCATAATGCAAGGAGGTTAGCCAGCCATTTGGGGGTAAAATCTGTTATATCAGACCTCTTCTATTCTAGAGGGCCAGTAATTCATTCTTACCAGAAGTGATGCTTAATCAGGATATGGAGTTTCCTCATACACTCCCAGTATGTCTGCCAGTACCACCCTGAGAGGATTTAGAGACTGCCCAGGTACTGACATAGAATCCCACAGAATGTAAGCTTGAACTTAAATTCACTATTTTATTGCAAAGTTGGTGTGAAAAGGGACATCAGTTTTCATGGATGGATGGATCTTTTTCTAAGTTCCCTATGTTTTTCCATTGATCAGCTTCTCTCTCCGTGAGCCAATACCACACTGTCTACTGCTTGATGCCCAGTAAAGCAATCCTATACATATATACACAGCTTATTCTTTGTTAGAAGTTTCTTGGCAGATTTTGGCCTTTGAAACCTCTGTATAAATTTAAGAATCAACTTACAAGGTCCCACATAGTGTTTTTTTGGAATTTTGATATTTTCAAAATATCGTTAAATCTATAGATCAATTTGAGGAAGAATTAAATATTTATAATACTGAAGCTTCCAATTAATGAATATACATATATTTCTTTTTTAAGATTGTTTTGTAACATAATTTAATAAAATTATCATGTTTTTTTCATACCTGTTTTGCACAAATTTTGTCTGCTCATTTCTTTAGCCAGCTTCATTTCCAAACATCTTTATTATGGATAATAATTATTAGATTAATTCCTATAGTCTTTATAGACACATGTCTTCTGTGAATAAGAGGATTTGTTTCTTTCTCATTCTTATACCTCTACATCTACTTTCATTTTAAGTTGTAGAATTTAGTGCATCTAATACAAAGATGAAAAGATATGATGATATGAAACATTCCCTAGGAATTTTTTTAAGGTTTTACCATTAAGAATGAAATGTTGTAGGCTATCTTTTATTTAGTTAGAAGTGCTTTAGTTTTCTAAGAATTTTAAACATGAGTCAGGGTTTAAATTAATTTACTTTTACATTAATGAAGATGATTATATAAATGTCTTTTAAAATATGTTAATGTGGTGATTACACTCCTCATTAAAATGTAACTTGATTTTTTGTGTCATAATAGAGACGGCTTAGACCAGGGGATTGGTTACAAAGGTGACAGAATATGCAGAAGCCAGATGGGACAGTGAGGCACCTGGAAGAATCCCCAGTGAAAGCAGAGTCATGGCAAGGCCAGCTAGTGACAGCTGGAGACGCAGGAGAGTCTGTTGCTGCTAGAAAGTCCATCCAAAATAAAGCCAGGAAGAAGCACCCTGGCTTTACCTTTCCTTCTACCCTCTGTCTCCTCTCCACTGCCTCCCACTGGTTGAACCCAGCCAGAAGCCAGCTGATGTAGGAATCTTTGAAAAATGGGTGCAGAGTTTAGCCACTTGTAGCGGTCAGTTGGTTGCAAAATTCAGTGATACTTCGAGTAAGTATGGGCACATCCAGGGGAGTTTATATATATATTTTTTTTTTGAAAACAATATTGTGTTAAGCTGTTTTAAGGAGATTTGGATATAGGATCACAATTGAGATTGGCTTCAAGATTATGCTAGTTGTGTGGAATGAGTTGGAATGTGTTTTCACTCTTTACCATTTTCTGGAGGACATACAATAAAAGTGGAATGACCTTTTCCTTCAAAGTTTTGTAGAATTCACTGACAAAATAATTTGAGGTGGGTCACTTTTTTGTGAGATTATCATTGATACTAATTGTATTTCTTTGGCTAGTATAAGAGTAGGCTTGCTAGTTCTTCTTGAACATTCTATAAAAATTTATATTTTTCTAAAAATTTGTCTATTTGATCAAAATTTTCTAATTTAATGACATTGAGTTGCTTACAGTATTCTCTAATTATATTTAAATCTCTCCTCGATGTAATTATGTCCCCTTTGGTTGCTAATTGTTCATTTATAAGAGATTTGTCTGTTTTATTATTCTTTTGAAGAAAACAACTATTGAATTTTTAAATATCTGTGGTATCTTTATGTCCTAAGCCATTGGTTTCTAATCTTTGGCTTACTTATTGCCCTTTTTATACTTTCTTTTGGTTTATTTATCTCCTAGAATGAATATTCATAACTCTCAACTTCCCTCAATTTACTGTTAGTACTGTATTCAACATGTTTTGACTTGTAATTTCACCTTACTCAGTTATAATTTTATTTTACCCAATTCTAACTATAATTTTTGTTGTGATTTTTTTTACTTAAATATGAGATACTTAGATGTATATTTATTTGCATGCATAGAAATACTTGGAAGTCATTATATAATCTTGCAATGGTAAAATATTATTTCAACATGATGAAGTAAAAAATACTAACATAAAAAACTGATAGATTTGAGTACATCAAACTAAAAATATCTTAATAACAAAAAACTTTTTCAATACAAACACAAGTTATCAGAAAACTTAAAATAATATATACAAAATACAGGGGCACCTGGGTGTCTCAGTTGGTTAAGTGTCCAACTTCGGCTTAAGTCATCATCTCATAGTTCATGAGTTCGAGCCTCACGTTGGGCTCTGTGCTGACAGCTCAGATCCTGAAGACTGCTTCAGATTCTGTGTCTCCCTCTCTCTCTCTCTGTCTCTGCCCCTCTCCCGCTCATGCTGTGTCTCTGTCTCAAAAATAAATAAAAACATTTAATTTAAAAAATATATATATACAAAAATAAATTTTAATGTATTAAATATATGAAAGCTCTTACAAGTCAAAAAGAACATAATCACCCTAACAGAAAATTTGGTAAAACATGAAAACAGACTCCAAATTAGATATATAAATGACTAGTAAGAAAAGAATCTTATTTAAATGATCTAGAAATCAAATTAAAATAATATACATTATTCCATTGTATCTATGATATTGTTAAAACCCTTTAAAAATGAAAATATGTAAAGAATTCTCATATGTCCATATTTGAATATAAATTAGTTTGATTTCTCAAGAGGTAAATTTAGTAATATAGGTAATATATATCAGAATCTTGAGCATTGTGTACAACTTCTAAACCAGTAATCCATCCTTATAAATATAACTTAAAGGGAAAATAATGATAATGAGGAAATAGCTTATTGGCAAACATATCCATCACTGTATTAAAAACAAGATTGGTTGGGGGGGAAGCCTGGTGACTCAGTCGGTTAAGAGTCCTACTCAGATCATGATCTCACAGCTTGCCCCACATGGAGCTCTCTCTTTGACAGCACAGAGCCTGCTTTGGATTCTCTGTCTCCCTCTCTTTCTGCCCCTCCCCCACTTGTGCTCGCTCGCGTGCTCTCTTTTTCTCTCAAAAATAAACATTTTTTTAATTTAAAAAATTAAAAATAAAAACAAGATAGTAATTTCTATATACAATTAATATTAAAACATGTTAAAATATTGGGTAACATAAGTTTTCCTAAGCTGGGGCTCAAGTTTCTATCTGAATTACTTCATCAGCATATATTCAACCGTTAGCGTGGGCTGAACCTGAAAAGCAGTTTTATTCATTTTTGCATTATATTTATGGGCTCTTTCATAAGATGCATATGAGTTTGCAGACCTATACCATCCAGGTGAATAGAATCTTTTTATTATTATGTAGTTATCCTCTCTATCCTTCATATGTCTTGTCTTAAGGTATATTTTTATATAAATATAGCTATCCAGTACTTATTTTGGTTTCTGTTTTCTTTATGTATCTTATTCCTTCATTGTGCTTTCAGCTTTCCATACTGTACATGTACCACTCATAATGGGATAGACATGTTAACTTTTAAAACCCCCTTGAAAATCTGTGTTTTTGCCAGTAACATTAGTTATAATTAACATACATAATTATGCATTTATTACAATTGTCATTGTTTTTGAATTCCTTTCATTCTATCTCTTTTTGGTTTCCTCTGCCTCATTTTTTGGAGAAGAACAAAATACCGGTTTCAAGAACAGGCTTTGTAACCAAGCTGCCTAGTTTTGAATCTGCCACTTAGTAGCTGTATGAAATTATATGTCACACTTTCCCACTCTGCAATATGGATGGGCATCAAACCATAAAGGTGTGGTGAGGATTTTGTTAGTTAATATGTGTAAAGTGATTAAACCAGCCTGGGTTGTAGGAATCACTATATTAGTATTAGTTACAATTACAATTCTTTCTCGCTTATAACCTCTTCATTTTGTTTGTTTGCATATTTTATTTTTCACAATTTTTATCTCCTGGTTTGAAATTTAAGCTCCCAATTTTTTTCTTTCTTTTATTATTATCTGTTTCTGGTGACTGCTGTTGAAGTAGGTTTCATGAAATGTAAAAACCAAAGTAAAGCCTTTGTAGAAAACAAGATTTATTTCTGGAAAACAAGTTTCTAAGATTTTAACTCTACTCACCTTTCCCCTGACATACATACCATTTGTGTCAAATATTTAAATTTTCACTTTTGATGAAAATCTCAATAATTGGACATTAAGAATATTTTATACAGAATTTCAATTCATGTATATGTATCTCTGTGTTAAAGTTAATATTCCAGGGGCGCCTGGGTGGCTTAGTCGGTTAAGCGTCCGACTTTCGCTTAAGTCATGATCTCGCGGTTCGTGGGTTCGGGCCCCGCGTCGGGCTCTGTGCTGACTGCCAGCTCAGAGCCTGGAGCCTGTTTCAGTCTGTGACTCCCTCTCTCTCTGACCCTCCCCTGCTCACGCTGTCTCTCTCTCTCTCCTAGAAATAAAAAAATAAAAAAAATTAAAAAAAAATAAAGTTAATATTCCATTTTCTTCACACTTATTGTTAAATTTAAAATATATGCAATTCTTTCATTTGCCCTCCTTTTGTAACTATTCCACCTGTTCTTTCTGTTTTCCACAACTTTTACTATAAATTTTACATACAAAATATACAATAATGTGCTTAGATTTAAGTGTACAGTTCAGTTTTGACAAATATACATGTCCATGTAACAGCCACCCAGACCTCCTTCTCTACACCTTTACATTCAGTCTCCCCAACCCGACGCCATGTAACCATTAGTCTGGTTTCTGTCAGCATTGATTAGTTTGGGCTCTGAGAGGACTTGATATTAAAAGAATTAAACTCTATGCATTGCTGTGTATCTTACTTCTTTTACTAAACATAATACCTGTCAGAGGCATTTATTTTCTTGAGTATACCTTCAGTCTAAGTTTATACGTCAGTTTATTTTTACTGCTAAGTAGTATTCTATTGTACAAACATTGTTTATCCATCATCTGTTAAACATATCCTTATTGCTAGTTTCTGTTTATTGTGAAAAAATCCATTATTCTACATCAAGTACAATTCTTTTGGGGATATGCTTTTTTTTTTTTTTTTTTTTTTTTTTGGTTAAACTCCTGGAAGTTGCATTACAGACCAGTTGGGTTGGTATATCTTTGAATCATAAGAGATTTTTGATTGTGCATTTCTTTTCTTGTAATGTCCACATCAGTGTTTGTTACTACAGCTATTACAGCCTCATAAATTAATTGGGGGAGTGTGCTATTCTCGATTTTCAAAAACACTTTATTTAAAAATGGACATTATCCATTTGATAGGATTTACCAGTGTACCTTGGTATAGACTATTCTTTGTAGGTAGATATAATATTATAGCTGTCACTATTTTAATAAATGAATGGTTTGCAGGTTTTCTGCTTCTTCTTCTGTAATGTAAGTAGAATTTTTCAACAGATTAGTAAAATTTTATTTGATGTTCTACATGGAATTTTAGACAATATTCTCTATTCTTGTAAGGTCTGGAGAATATGTAATGCTATCTTCTCTTTCATTCCTATTTTATGTAACATCTGTCTATTTTTTTTTCCTCATCAGTCTTTTGAAAGTTACTATGGCCCCAAATATGGTGTATCTGTAACTGCTTCATGTGCACTTGAAAGTATATTTTTTAGTTACTGGGTATGATATTCTGAGGTCAGGTCTTCTATGTCTTTATTGATTTCTTGTCTACTTGTTAAAGCCATTTCTGAGAGAAGAGTCAACATTGCCAATTCTAACTTTGAATTGGTCCATTTTGCTCTTTAGTTCTGTCAGTTTTGGTTCATATTCTTTGAAGTTCTTATGCTAGATACATCCACATTTAAGATTGCATGTTTTCCTGTTGAATTTACCCTTTCACCAGTATAAAACTTCCCCTTTTTGCTCTGCAAATATTTCTTATCTGGAAGTCTATTTAGTTTGATACAAATTGATCCTTTATATATTTTTATATGTTTCATGCTTTTCACATATTTTATGTTTATGAGACATAAATTTATCTTTCTTTTACTTTAAACCTAGTTGTGGTTTATAATTTAAAGTGAATCTCCTAGAATGTATTTTGTTGATTCTGACTTTTTTATACAGTCTGCTAATCTCTGCTTTTTAATAGTGTTTGATTCATTTACATTTAATGTAGTTATTGACATATTTGGAGTTCATTCTGACATATCTCTGTTTATTTTCTATCCATCTCATCTATTGTTGTCATACTGTTTCTTTTTTCATGTCTACTTTTTGGTTAAATAAATGTACATATTCATTTTCTTGCCTATTCTATTATATAGAGGGCATGCAAAAATACAGTTTGGGAAGGAAGATTAGTTACAACAGGTCTGGTTTAATGTCTCTTTGTAGAGAATGTTGTGTTTTGTAAAAATGGGAAGTTAACTTTCTAGCACCCCTAATTATTCTTTTCAAACTTAGTTCTAGGTTTTGTTAAGAAAACCATACTTTGGAACATGATCATTATTCCTTAGGTATAACTGTGCTGAGATATCAGCTGAATGTCCACAGTAATAACAAGGGCCTTTCATTACGGTTGAGTCAGGACATCAGCATTTCCTGGAACTATGCAGCCTTTTGGTTCCACTCCCAACCTTGAAGCAGCCACTCCCTCCTAGGCAATGCTTACCATCACCTTAAGCAAAGAACACACCAACGATTCCCACTCTCCATTGCATCCTCCTTTCTGGCAGCCATTCTGCAAATTTCAGCTGCTTTAGTAGTCTTGAAATCTGTTGTTAGCCTCCTCATGTCAATGAGATCCTGACAGTCACTTCAGCTTTACTCTCCTCTGTTGCATTTAGGAGTCACTTCCTATGCAGAGAGCTAGAGTAAATATGGCACTTACCTTAGGGGTTTCTTTTGTCTTAGGGATGACAGACCTGAACCTGAGATGCCTATGGTTTAATGTCTGTACACTGTTTCATATACTCTAAGCAGATTTCTAGCTCTTCATAGCAGGAAGCTAAGGCCACAGTTAGTTCCTGCATCAGGACTGGAAGCCAGAGTCTCCTTTAACAGTGTTTTACCTTTTTGTCTTCATTATGTATCATTTTAGGTTTCTTATTATTCATTTTCTTTGGGTGCTTCCTGAAGGTGTGGTTTCATATTTTTCATCATGACATAGCTGGGGAATTTTCATGTATTATCCCACCACATATGGTCCCTCAGTGATTATTTCTATTCTTGCCTTCTGGAACT